CCCCTATTTTAAACAAAATTTGCTATAAAATGTCCGCTGACGAGACCGAAAATGTCCTAATTCATTGAAGAGAAGCAAGAAGTACAGGATGTCCCATACCCTCGCAGCATAGAACATAGAAACAACACTGATTCCATGATGATTCAACATCTAAACGTTGAAACAACGTTGAATCAATGTTAATTCAATGCCATTTGCAACTAGGGTGTATATTCATACCACTTGTAATTTTCCCATTTATGTACGCCAAAAAACAACAGATAAAACATTATTTGTGTCTGTGTGTCTTTTTAGTGGCGAACCTTGGTTGCTTTTGTATGAATCTTCTTCCGCCCAGAAATGGCTTGAGATTAAAAAAATTGGTTGACCATGAGGCAGAAATTAGGAAAGAATACGAACGACCTCCAAACTACTCTGACCGTAACTAAATGGACTGCTGTATGCGATGTCTGCTTGAAGAAAGCGACCATGAACGATATCCAGCAACCTCAACCAGTTAATGTTCGGGGCGGGAGAGGAGTGAAACCACGGCCGATCGACTGAAAGACTCGAAGAATCCAGGTTGTTTGGAATCGTCGAGGAATTTTTTCCATGAAAAAAAGCGGAAAAGCATCAAACATTTGATGAAATCTTACTGTGAACCCGTGTCTTGTTGAGGTTCAATTTATTGCTTGAGATGTTATTAGTACAGGAAATAAACGATTTCGATTTGGTGTGAATAAATATGGCATATCATGTAAGATCTGGGATTTGTATTCGGTAACTGAGCAGGAAGAAATTTCCAAGGGTCTTGCCTTGGTTTGTTTCGAATCTCAGTCGGTTAAGCGTCCAAAACCTCAATCCCCTTTAAAATTCTCAGAGCGAAACTTGACAAGTTCTTATTGCGCTTCTCCCGACAACGCGCGTGCTCCGGAAGACGATTTGGATCAATAACAACCTGCTCGGGATTTGGTTGGAGGAAAAAAGAGCGAAAGCTGCCCCCTTCACCACGAAACTATTGCCCATTGGTGCAAGTCTATCACGCAACGCCTGACCCTTTCTAAAGAGAATAGGGCTATACATTGGAAGCCCAAGTGAGAACCTAGTTCATCGAAATGGGTCGACGTGGGAGGATACGATTGTTCCTCGTCTACCTCCTATTTCTAAAGACAGTACTTGGCTTCTTGGCATATTATCCGTCTCACCCTGGGAAAAGGTATGGGAACGTGTCTCGGGAAGTTCCAGCAAAGAGTAGGTCAGAGTGCAGCATCTCCTGCGTGACGCAGCGACCGAATCCGTGTAACGCCTATAACTACCGAAGTGTTTCCAGCAAAGCGTAGGTCAGAGTGCAGCATCTCCTGCGTGACGCAGCGACCGAATCCGTGTAACGCCTATAACTACCGAAGTGCCAATGGCTCTTGTCAACTGATTTCGAACGAAAGAAGCAATCTCCTCCCCTCCGATGGATATCAGGCTTACGTCCAGAGTGAGCACGCCAATCTCAGCTGTTTCTTGGGTTCCTAGATGTCCTATGGGACGCATAGGAGTAGGAAATAACATAGAAAATAACACCCCCACAGTAGGGGGTGTTATTTTCCCCTCAATATTCAGGAGTGTCGAAGTACTGTAGTAAATCTCCGTCCGTTTTTTCAGTTGCTCTTCAACATCTGCCACAGGTATTTCCGTGGTATCTCCTCTTGTGGAACATTCAAGTCAATTTCTTTATCGCTCCCTACGTTTATGAAAATGAAAGTAAAAGCCCATTAATGAGCTCAAAATATTGAATGAAGAAGCAGCCAATTGGATTGCCATGAACTCATCATGCATTTCAATTTAAAATTTGACCTCGAAGTAGCACGAAAATTGTGTATGTTCTGCCTGTCAAATTTTCTTCCCCCTCTTCCTCCTTTTCGAAAGAAAAAGAATATCACGACCGCCTCAGTAGCTCAGAAGCATTCTTAACGCATCTTGCTTCGTTCCTCTCCATTTCGTGCGGGCCACCAACTTATAATTTGGGTCATGAACGTTAAGGTGGGCGTGGTTCGTTTCTGGGCAATTATCTTAACAGAGAAGACACTGCAATGGAGTTTATTTCTTTGGTGTGCGGTTGGGCTGTTGCAATAAAAGAAAGGCATTTCAGAAAGTAATCCTCTCATAGCCATTACAAGAAGAAGTCATTAACTAAGGAATGTCTTGGGTCTGCCATAGTCGTCTACACGTCGAGACACAAACTAATGGCTTCGGCTTCCTGCCCCTAGATGTCACTGCAAAAATTTCCCGATATTCATGTGGTTACTCACATAATACCAGTGACTATTTTTCCATCGAGCAAACAAACGCACTCATGAATCATTTTTGAAAAATCGCCCTCATGGGGAACATCATTATTTTCCCTTCTTTTAGGCTAATGAGCGATATTTTCTGAATAGATTAGGCAGACATTGCGGTTGCCTTGATTTATAGCCTAATCATTCACCATGTGTCATGTATTGCAAATACATTGTTCATGTTAATATTTATAAGATAGCTGATCGAAAGTTAAAGTATTTCAGTTTGAATTTGTGACCTACACCTCATCACCTCCTGGTCCAATTAGATCGAGCCCATTAATTAATTAAATCAAACGGCAGAAAGAATTGGTTAGCTGAAGAAAAGAATGTCTTATTTGAGGTCCGTACAGAATAAAAGATTATATTTTTGGATTGTAGGGTGAAGAACACTACAGAAACGTTTGAAACGACTAAAGAAGCACATGGGAACGTGGAATGTGGAAGAAGAGGGCAGCTGATTTCGAATTGAATAAGCTCCTTACTTTCTTAATTTATCATAAATTATTATTAAGTCGACAAAAGTTGAAGGGCCTGGAATGATTATTCTCAGTGATGTTCTGACAAATGCTCTCAAGTAAAGGGCTGCTAATTATAGGAGTACTAACGGCCTGCGGCCGCTACGCTGGCCGTCTAGTATGTGGAAATTCGAATCGTCTGTTGTGAGCATAACGTCTTCTTGACAATCCTCTGTTCATTGCATTACCCATTCGGAAGTGAACCGCTTCATTACATTTAGACACACATAGCTTACAGTACACAGGGAGATTCTGCTCCCAAACACCATCATCATGATATTCGAGCTGATTTCCACAATCGCCATTGTGAACGCCTCGATTTAGTAAGTTTTCATGAGACTCAAGACGTCATTGATGATTTCATCTTCCTAGCACATTCAACGCTCTTGCATCACCGATTAGCCGATGGACTATTAGCGTTAGCGTTTGGTACAGGTGCCACTTATTCTGACACAGTACGGGCCATTTCCAAGAATTTGTTCGACTTCAGCACAGAGGGAATTTAGCGCATGTGCAGCAGAATACTAATGAATAATTCCAGAAAATGCCTCCCCTCCACATTAGCACCAGGGAACAAGAGTGTGAGCATTAAGTGTGAGTTGCAGCAGAAGCACTTTTCCGTTGTGGCAGCAATGTGAAATAAATGTCCCCTCCCTACAGCAAAACGTCCAGCCTGACAGTGCTCGCTGCGCAAACGACTGTAGTGATTTGAGATGACATGGAGAGGCCTGACATAATGTCCCGAGTTCCGTGGTGTAATGGTAGCACACCTGACTGGCAAGCAAGAGGTCCGGGATCAATTCCCGGGCGCCCACCGGCTTTCGACACCTGAGTGCTGCTTTCCTTGCATCAAGTAGCCCATCAGGCTGCATGGCTCTCCTATTCCTGAGCTTAGCATTCGCTGCCTCTTGCTGTTCAGCCATACGCTCCCTACGTGCAACTGGGTACTGTTCATCAGTCATTCTAGCCATCATGACTAGCACCTCCTAAAGCACCGATTCAGGCACTTCGCACCGCAACTGCTGAGGCAAACGTTGTTTCCGCGCCAGCACCAATCGCCTATTATCTGCAGCGACTGCCTCATCGCCGTCCTGTGGTACCTCTTTCAACATTTTTTTTTCACGTTCAACCTCACCTCGCAAAATCGCCACCATGTTGATGGGAGGTGCACCTCGTTTGCGCGACATATGAAGCAGAGACATTTTAGACTATTATTTTGACTTCAACAATCATGAGAACTCAAATAAATCGGCCATGACATGAAACTCAAACAGAAAACTATTGCATGGAAACGATTTCCCGAACCGCCACGCCTGACATAACTGAAAAAAAAATAAATACAGAAAAAAAGACTTGAGCAAAGAATGTATTCAAATGGAAAACTTGCTGTCGATCATTGAAAACGTGACACGCTTTCAGTTATTACCATCCTTTGATTGACACAGCTAAGTATGAAGCCTATGACTCGGACTGATATAGCTCGATGGACCGGGAGCTAAGTGCGTTGGATGGCCTAGCCTTTGGCCTAAAGTGACATAGTCTCGTAGGCCCCGCGCGCTGGGGTGACAACCACTACAACTCTCGGGCTCTTCGAATTAAAATATAAGAAGATAACTTGGAAAGGCGTAGCCTTGTAGGCCTGGCACTTTAGGCCGTGGATGGCCTGGCCTATGATCCAGAATGGCATTGCATGATAGGGCTGCCCTTTGGGGGTGACAGCCGCAGCCACCACCACCACCGCAACTTTTGTCCTCTTCGAATTAAAGTAATAGAAGATGGGTACATCATGCTGCAACCAGTGTCATCCTCTTCCGTCATATGCTTCATTTCTATTCGATGCTTCCCTCAAACAAATTAAATAGGTTGGGGAGCTTTGCACATCCTGATTAAGGTTAAATAAGTGAAAATGATGCCTCATCCTAATCAATACACCAGGCAGATGCGTCAGAATGAAACATACACCCCAAATAGCTGGCATCGATGATATTCTAAAATCACCTTGAACATCCGCCGGGCACCCCATGGATGAATTCGAGTATCATTCCTGGGACAAGGCATCTTCTCAAAATTTATTGAGCGCTAAGAAGGGATGTGCCTGAGCTCTGAAATGGAAGTCCATCCAGATGTGAATTTTCTGATACTGTGGAGTCTTTTCCATAAATATGGCTTGACACTGCAAAATATTTTGGCACTGATGCCTCTCCAGTATTTGAACCTCCTTTAAGATTTTACGTCGACACTTTCTGGTATGCCAGATGTCGCCATTTGTAGGGCTCACCAGATCTCACAATAATAATTCCTATTTATCTCTCTGACTTTGGTAAGTTGATTTCGACACTCAAAGTCGCTACAATAGGACGTCTCATTAAGCGTCAAAAGTAAGTTCTTTGCTTCATGAACATAAGTTGATTCGCAGAGTTCTGCTTGACGGAGTACCCAATGCTTGAGAATGCGAAGGTGTCATACCAGAAATGGGACGGGGGATACCCAGCACCTACTGGGGCAAAGGTGGTCTTCACTTGCTATGAGGGATTCACGGATGGAAAGTCGGAGCACCAGGCCACCTGCTCCTCAATCCCTGATCATTGGTGCACGTCCTTCCGCTCTGGCGATGTGAAATGTTCAAAACCGGGTATGAAATCTCTGAAACCTTTAAGCAGGGCGTCCAATTCAACCTTCTTCATTTCACCCTTCGTCTTAAAACAGTGGGTCTCATGGTAGGGGTTGAGAATGAATGAAGGGTTGATTGTATAAGTGATGTGATGCCTAATCCTCGCCTTTGTTGAACCTAACCTAAATCTAAACCAGCTCTAAACTCCATCACAACATTAACTTCATCATGTCCAAAAGCTATCTAATAGCAATTTGGCTGTTTTTTCGCCCAGACTCTTCATGAAGGTTATAAGAAGAAGAATTTTTTTAGACTGGTCTACCCAGTCTAAATAATGTTTACATTTGTGGACAAATGGAAAGAACTCCCATTTATGTATGCTCTATTCCGCACCTGAGCTCGAAGTAGGTGCACACATAGTGTGTTCCGTAAGGTTTTCACCCACCCCCCCTAAGATGGAGCTAAATGCTATGTCAGGTATAATTACACGTGATACATGAAGATCCGATGGATCAGCTCTGCCCAAGGAAAGGCCGCGTTGACGCAGGACGGAGGCTGATGCCTCGGAGGCTTACTTCACATTCCGCCTCAATCGAGAGAATATGATATGGGTCAAGAGATTTTACAGAGGAATTGTCCGGACTTCAGCCTACGGAACACTTTTTCCCAGTTAATGACAGCTGATTGACTAACTTATTTTCCACATATGACAATTTTATGAGTTCATGACATAATGCACGCAATGGGAATAATCAGCGTTAAATTGCTTAAAATATGTCCACAGGCTTATGAAGAACAATGTTTTATAAGAATAGGCTTGACATTTGTTTTTCAAAAACTTTTCATTGATTTATATAATATGGATTGCCAATTATCACGAGGCGAGTTCAACAAGACGCATTAACATGCCTAATATTCAGATCATGAATTCGAATTATGGGATGACAAAAAATACAGAAACAAAAAGACCAAAAATTAACTTGTTAGATTCTTGTCAGTTTATCCAGAGTGCCGGAAAACGGAGAGAGGAAAGGAGTACGTGGGAAAACGAAACGAGACTGTGACGGGGAAGGAATGCCTCAGATGGGATTCCAAGCCCTACGGGAAACCGAACGACTTCGTGGCCACGCTTCTTTACGAGGAGCATTTCTTCAATGAGGACCCGGGCTCCCATGAAAACTATTGCAGGAATCCCACTTTGAAGGAAAGACCCTGTATTCCAAGCCCTACGGGAAACCGAACGACTTCGTGGCCACGCTTCTTTACGAGGAGCATTTCTTCAATGAGGACTCGGGCTCCCATGAAAATTATTGCAGGAATCCCACTTTGAAGGAAAGACCCTGGTGTTTCATCTCCGACTCTAAAATCGAGTGGGAATTCTGTGACATCCCCCTTTGCGACGATCAAGGTAAGATGATTCTAACCCCTCTGAGGTCAGCCGCACGCTAACAAAACGAAAATTCGCAAGGGAGAAAACCACTACAGAAAGACGCACTCGCTGTCATTTCAGTCTGTGCATTTTGTCTCTTGGTCTACGGTCAAGTATCGGAGAACGCCCCGGCCTTGATTTATCTGGAAAATTAGAAAGGGAAGTATATGACTCATCCAAGAATCGTCAATGCACTATTCCCCGTCATGATGCGCAACTGAAACTAAACTTCAATCACTTTGCTTAATCGAGTTTTTGCATTTTTTTTATCGCATTCATGGACTGAAACCCTATTAAAGATCTCATTAGTTGATGAGCTCTGACACTCCAGCTAGGAGATAAATGATCGGAAATTTTCTTAGCCTCAGTAGAGATGAAGGTTCCTTCGAGCGTTTTAATTTCGACCTGTTGTCTTCAGCATATTTTCTTTTTCGACATATATACACTCCATGCGGTCCTCTTTTGATATTTTACTTCTCGACGGAATCTCATAAGGTGCTAAGCTTGATCGATAATCAAATGGAATCAAGAAAGACTCCTGGAAATCTTTATTCTCTTCGTCGGCGAAATCGCTTTCCATACCATTTCCTTAAATTGTCCTCAAACCCCAAATAATTATTCCACATGTTCAAATGAAACAGGTGGTATCAATGCTGTGGAAATGTACAGGGTATGGCAAAACAGACCAACTGTTTTTAACATTAAAACTTTTGCTTGCACTTGAGATATTATTGCGAAGCATTCAGAGTGCCAATATGAGTACGTTTCCAACTCCAATTTTCATTGATTCGTCGGGCCAATACAATACTAGCTGCAGGAAGTGGGACTTTGAGAATAGAGAAGAGCTTCTACTGGTAGTGGAGAGGAAGGGACACTTGAACGCTGATCATTCTCATCAAAACCATGTCGAAATCCTCTTCCTGTCAAATCAATTTTTGGGTCGGTCCTCTCTTGTATACGATTTCCATGAGCTCCCGTGAAATGAATGAATAAATGACAATCAAAAGAGCTCTTGAAAACCACATTCAGAATTTATTCTGCTTTTTTAAAAGGATTTGTTCGTTTTAAATATTAAGCAAGTGATGGAATGATATTCGTAAAAAATGAGGAATTTTGGCAGCCGTTTTGATAAAAGAGCTCTTGAAAACCACATTCAGAATTTATTCTGCTTTTTTTAAAGGATTTGTTCGTTTTAAATATTAAGCAAGTGATGGAATGATATTCGTAAAAAATGAGGAATTTCGGCAGCTGTTTTGACTTCGATAACTAAATTAATGAATACTAGATATGAAAAGTTGTTAAATAAATAAGGCTACGCTAAACCTTAAACAAATCTGGTAAGAGTGTGTCCTACTTCCCATAGCCGATAGATAAATATCCGCGGGTGATGAGAACGACAAATACTTCTCAGTGAAAATGAGAATAAATGTAAGATTCCACCTGAAGTAATGGGCACCATACGGTAGTCTCGAGGCAGTTACCTAGACTCCACAGATATGGCGTCAGTAAATTCTCAACTCAGATTGACCACAGCAGGATCAAAATTCGAGATTCTTTCAACATAAAAACGAATTTCAACAGAGGAGATCAAAGGTCTCGAGGCAGTTACCTGGACTCCACAGATATGGCGTCAGTAAATTCTCAACTCAGATTGACCACAGCAGGATCAAAATTCGAGATTCTTTCAACATAAAAACGAATTTCAACAGAGGAGATCAAAGGCTTTTCAGCGATGCATCACACAGTAATTTGAATCCAAAATTAATTTCAAAGTTATTCTGGTCAGGGCAAAGGTCAACTCAAAAAAAGTAAAATCAATTTGGCATATCTTGCGAAAAAATTACAAACGAATTACCTATGAATGATGAGTATCGGTTGAGAAACTAGGGGGAAAAAATTCGGTCATTTAGACATCTGGAGTTCGTTATGTATGTGGATGGGTCTCAAACCTTTCATTACCAAAACCGGGTTTCAGTTAACTTAGTCTTTAAAATAGGACATTACACATATACATCATGTGATTTTATACATCACGAAACTAGTAGCATTGGATCCTCATGCTGGCAATTAATCGCTTGACTCTAGATTTGATTATGAGGGTTGTTCCAGTCACTGCTCTTCCATTTCCATCTGAATGCTCGGTAACATGGCCTTTACCTTCAATTTTGGCAATTTGGTAGCTCCCCAAATTGTGTATGGTTCGGCGAGAGCTGGGAGTAAAATCATATTTTGGAATTCCAGACTGGAGGAATTTCTAGACCTGCTTGATGGTTACATCATGATATATCTATAAAACTTTTCAATATTTTATTGAGGCATGTTCTACTCAGAATTCATCTTAAGATAATAAAAAAATAGAATTTCATTAGAAATATCAGAGAGTAGTAAAAAAAAATATTATTAAAAAACAAAAATTGAATTTATCATTTTTCTTAAAACAGCCTTTTTAAGACGTGTTACTAAGAGGTAGCATACCTTTGGATGCAGTAACACAACTTCCACTGCAAAATACACTTATTTCCATTTCTTTGTAGTTCCACTCGAGTGCAAGCTGACACAGAAAGGTGGAGAATATATGGGAACCAAGAACAGAACCATTTTAGGGATCAAATGCAAGCCATGGTTGAAAATGCCATTGTCAAGCCAATATCGCAAGTGGAGCCAGAGAATCCCTGCGTTCTCAGATGAAGTGCAAGAAGGACATAATTACTGCAGGAATCCTGGGGGTCGTCCTGCAGGACCTTGGTGCTACTACGGCACCTTGGAACATGAATGGCAGTACTGCGATGTCCCTTTCTGTTCTCTTCCAAAACGAGGACCGAGTCAGTGGAACAATGAATACGTTTAGCATAATAATCAAAATGGACCTAGGGAGTCTCAAGTAACACATCATAGATGCTTCTAATAATCATTTCAGAAGAAGACTCACTTAACATTTTCATATCATGAATCATGAGTTTAAAACTTTTGCTCGATTTCCAGGTCCGCCGCTAAGGTTCGCCTATGACTTGCAAAATGATGGGTTTTTTTTCTAAATTTCTGGCGATAAAGAACGCATTTATTGGAAGTCCCAATCGAAACAGATAAAAAAATTTAACCTAACCTGATCTATCCTTTTTGAAAATATTCACATTTGTGTGGAAATGATTTTTTTTTAAATTTTACATTTGGCAATGTGCGCCTTCTCGAAATATACATGTGAATTTGAAATCAGTTTTAAGACAGAAATCGGCGATTGGACATAGGACATTGGCGAGTGTCCAACAGGGAGGATTTGCCACAATAATTTATTTTGATGCAATTTCGACTATTAGGATATATAATCTATGGTCGGTAATCATGTTGGATGTATCAATTTACTGCATCAGGATAATGCATGCCTCAAGTCGATGCATGGTAATCATTCCGATTACGTGCCATGAATCAAGCAGCCTAACAACCTTTTGAAGTTTTATCCAGAGGTCTGAAATCTGTATCGTCTTCCATTTGAACACCCAAATATGGTGAAATGGTTTGAGGGGAATAGAAAAGCAACTTAGCATTCTGCATGATTTCTCCGCTGTGCCTCATCTCGCGATATAGGCAACCGTTTTGGGGTGATAAATGTGAGCCCCGATGCCGCTATCGGAATTACATTCATCCGACAGGCTTTAAATTTTAACTCATTTCATTCGTACGGTAGGGCGAGCTTGTCTACTAAATTTCAGTTAGGCAAACTTAGCTATTCCTGGGTCGAGCTTTTTTTGTGATGACTATTTTCTTTCGTCGCTCCCATACTTAGACCACTCTTTGAATATGAAGGTTGACTGGATGTTGTTCTATTGCAGGTGGAATTCAGAAAATTGGAGCGGTTTACCCAAATTGTCGGATGACGAAAATGGGCAAGGAGTACATGGGCAATGTTAAGACAAGCGAGACAGGGAAGCCGTGAATGAGATGGGGTGAATTCCGAGGCATGGAATGATTCCCAAGCGTGATGGCGAAGCACTTCCCACTCTCAGCGAATCCCATAAAATTAATTCCTTTCTTTCAATTTTTTATTAATAAGGAATTTCTTGATGCTCTGAATTACTGTCGAAACCCAGGATCGGGAGAGAGACCGTGGTGTTTCGTCTCCAAGAATCCTTCCATTGAATGGGAATACTGTGACATACCTATCTGCGACGAACTTGGTACGTTTATTAGTTTCAGGTGCTTAATCATGACATATTTATTATCTTCGACGTCTTGGCAAACATACATTTTGAATTGCATCATGTCATGGCTGGTTTGTACTCCATAAAACTTGAGCTTTCGAAGAAATGAAGCCAAGTAAAACCATCTTAGTTCGAAGAGTGCCTAATTCCAAACACGTTAACCTTCAATGTCAATAAATAAACGTTTTCGCGAGATCATCATCAGACCAAGTTCTTCTTAACCCAAGATGACTATGTTAATATGCGAAAGACTCACGGTGGGTTCGCTCGATTTCGAAATATCTGAGTGAAGTGAATGTCATGTCGCCGACAGGACAAATTGAAGAAAATGTACGCGGACGACTGAATTTGAAATACGAGCGGTATTGTTAATTCTGTGAATAATGAGCTGATGGGCATGCTACTATACATGTTGGAGATTTGTATGCAAATGAGAGTATGACGACCAGAAATTTAATTTAATACATCTGTCAAATTCCTTTGTATTGCGGCATTTTCTGCACGTCATCCTCTGAGGCTTTCTCATTTGATTAGGAAATAATGATCATAATTCAAAGCGAGCCGAGTGTTGCAAATACCCGCTCTATTTCTCCTATGCTACTATTACGGTGGGAATCTACCGTTGAAGTTATTGCATGTGTCATATTCTCTGAATTATAAAATTGCAATAATGCCGTCAGGCTTACCTTGGGCGTTGATCATTATCTATGAGGCATTGGAAGACCTAGCTCATAACCAGGTATTTTAAAAAACAACCAAGAATTCGCATTATGCCCAATGCAAGAGCCTCACAAGACACCCCCGGTAAATAATTCCTGTCTGCGCCCCTGCTACACCCAAGTAGTATTTTAGCAGGTGGCTTGCAAATGAATAAGCTGCGTATATTATAATAGAGGACGAAGACATGTCATAGTTCATGGAATGCATCTTTGCACTCTGTCTTACATCTACCTAGAACACCAATCATATATGGGTTAGTTTGTAAATGATGGTGTGCTGTTGAGTGCCTCTTATCAGCCAAAGATCCCAAGATGTTGGAAATTCTTTTCTGAAAGTTCTCTGCGCAGTCACTTACAAAATGAGTGCCTCTCAAAATAATATTTCACTATTCTGTACAGACTTCCAGGCTCCAGGAGTACATGGTCAACTACATAGATATCATCTTCAATCAGAGCTGAAAATTTTCTTTTATTTTTTACAGTTTTCCGTGAAATCAACATTCTCATGATTTCCAGAAAAATGAACTCTTCCATATGAAGTTTCTTCTCATGTTCAGGCAGTTATAACATGCAAACGAAGAACCACGTTGGCGTTTATAGATACAAAATCCACGGCGCAAAGAGTGTAGCATATCACCGGCATTGTTGTTATTAGAGTACGAGTGCCTCACTTAGGCGATCTGCATGCCCAAGCAGAGCTTGTTGCGTGGCAATAACAATGGCATCTGATATGGGAGCCGGTGGCTAGACAGACTGTCCAGGAAGTGACTGAACATTGTCCTTCCAACCCAACTAATAGTCATGTAGGCATGGTCTTGTAACCCGACGTGCCCAGTAGACTTTTAGCTTCGGTGATGTTTAAAGTATGTAGCGCATAGTGCAGCACATACCACCTTAATCGACCTCAAACATGCCATCCGCCATCATGAGGCAATATTAGAAGTTGTACAGCTTCGATCAGCTGTCTAATACCGCATATCTCGGATACAAGCAATCGTAGGCATAAAAGGAGGTCACTTGAGCAAATGCAGAATTTAAGCAAATGGAGGTGGCCATATCCGATGACCACATACCCCTCCTTCCCATAGTCGCATTAATGTTCCCACCAAGTTGAACAGCTTTACTATGCATAGGTTGCTTATTATAGCTCTGAAAGTGGGAGTAAATTGTATACAAACCTTGTATGTCATGCCAGCCATATTAAGCTGCATAATAGGTGCGTAATTTATGTAGGATCATATATTTCTAAAAACTTGACTTTTCACCATTATTTTTCCTGCAGATTTCCAACTCACCATTTTGATACCCAACCATCGAAGTCGCTCCTCCCGCGATCTTACTCTATTTTCCTTGCAAATTTAAAATAAGCAACCCATGCGAGGCTCACATCAGCTTCGTTTAATAATTTACGAGCATTAAAAAATGTTGATATCAGATTGACCTTAAAGAACTCTTACTACGTCACAACACCCCTGTTCAACGATTTTGGCAGTTCCAATGGAGTGCAAGCTGACGCATTACGGCGGAGAATATCTGGGGAAAAAGAACGTGTCCAGGTCTAGGAACCCGTGCCTACCATGGCTGAGCCGAGTTTCAAGTGACAACCAATATGACAATGTTCTACCGGCCTTCTCGGATTCCCTAGACAGTAGACACAATTTTTGCCGCAATCCAAATGGAGCTGTCCCCTCACCATGGTGTTGGACTACCACACATGGCAACGATCCCCAAATGGAGGAATGTGACATCCCCTTTTGCTTTGAGCTCCTGCTGGAATACCCAAGCAACTGTGAGTGTATGCATGGCTTCTATAGTTTTCATTCATTCTTATGGTTTAAAGGGTACCTGGGTAATGCTTTCAACTGAACTGTTCTCCTTGATCTCTCTTCGTGCCCTAGAATGAAAATATGCGTCCACATTCTAAGAATATTTTGCTTAAAAACCCAGTCAACTTTTGGTAACTGACATGAACTATGTATGGTTCATTCCACGTCAAATCACCCAATCGAATACGGGGTGCCCTCTCAGAAATTGATGAAAATGGTTGTGTGGGATACTTTTAATGAAAGGAAATTACAGGTCAGTTTTTCCCCTCTCTGGCTAATAGTTGAAAAGTTATGAGCGTATGAAATTTTAAGGACGGATATTATAAATTCCCTTGGAAATATGGGGGGGAAATCTTAAGTTATGGTCTGATTTCGACAAACAAGGTGTCCTTTAAAACGGGAGACTCGTGGGATTCCAAATACGTGATCAAAACTGATATTCAAACATATGTTGACCTTTTAGCACATATGAGCGACTTTTGACCTTGAAGATGACCTTGTCGAACAGAAACCAGACGGGAGCCACTTTTACAAAGCACATATATCTTAACTAGAGCATGGCAAAGTTTCATTGATGTAATTTTTTTGTTCTCCTGCAAATAATTTTGAAGCTATTCAAGTCCTGTCCATACGCCACCGGAAACACTGATCTTGGGGTAAAAATGATTAAGCATGGCTTTTTCTATTTTGATTTTGTGTGCGGTAGCTTAGAATATTGCTAAGTCCTTAGTGCTGCTTAAGTACACTCAGTTGATTTGGTGGCAAAAGTTTTGTAGCGGCAGTTTTGCTTATTGTACTAAAATTACATTTTAAAGTTTGCTGTGCTTCGAATTTCCCCCCTATTTCTGCTTACGTGTCTTAATCTTACAATGACAGTCAGAATACAGTACAGCATTCCCAGGTCTTCGGACACTGAACTCTTATCTGTGACGAAGGCTTAAAATATTTCCTGTTCAGTCATGGATCAGGTTTTTTTTTCATCATGCCTTGCACCAATTATCTTCATTCTGGCACTTCTTGAATTCGGACTTGATTTTGTCTTGCTTTTTCGCTTTAAAGCTACTAGAAGAGGTCAAAAGGCGTGAAGTATCAATTCTATACAAAATGTCCTTTTCTGGAACGCAGCATCGGTCTTCCTTTTCCAGCCAGAATGTTTGTTTGGCTTGGCCACTAGATGCATGAATATTACGTGGAAGGTTTCGCCTGATTTCTCCTCATCCAGGGCAATCCACCACTGGTCGTCATAAGTGCAGGCAACAAATCCAGGTACTGATGCCATTTTTGAGATGGTAGGACAGGTTCCTTCCTCTGTATCTTCTTCATTCCTATGGCATACTATAATCAATGTTGGTTGTGTTGACTGGCTGTAGTCATTCGCTTTAACCTTGGAGGTACTTTCTGAAACAATTCGATGAAACATCTGGGTCCCCTTCACTGTTTTAGCTCTGGCAACCTTGCGGCCAATGCTTGGCCAGAAGCTTCAATCTCACTGGATTCAAAGTATACTGTAGGAACTTCATTCCAGGGATTTCTTTCTCACAGAACGCAAACATGTTCACTGGTATTACGATCTGTTCTTCCACGGGACGTTTTAAGCTGGCTTTTGTTGTGAGTCGTTTCACTGTGCCCCCTATCTCATCGCAAGCAATTTTTTCATGGGAGTGGCAAAAAAATTACATTCCCCCTAAAGTCCAACGTCCTTTTTGTAATAGTACAGATTCATGAAGTTCTATATGTTCTTGTATTGGCTAGCACATTCATCTGAAAATTAATGTAATTTCTCTTCATTTGAAACCTTGCTCTTCAAGAGGGGTATAATGTGTTTTGGAGCACATGTACTGCAGTAGTAGAGTGCTTCAGCGAATCACTGATCTCACACATGCTGGTGTGTCTCAAATTCCCATCCTTGTCATGATGTTGTCAAAAAAGAGTGAAGAGTGACCTGTAGGATTACCCAGTGGTAGCTCTGGATCTCATCCTGCACTATGAAGTTCTCAGCAAAGTCACGGATGACAATACAATTAGCAAGAAGCATTTCAGTGACTTCAAGTACTCTGTGCCTTAGAGATGTAGTGATGGCATATTAGCCCAGCAATCTTTGCTGAGAGGGTATTAATGAAATCTTCAGTGGATTCCTTTACTGTAATGAGGGCAATGCGGTCAGTCTCCACCATGTATTCTACATGTTCCATCACTCGAAGCCCCTCCAGTGACACAGTTCAGTGACACAGAAGTCTTATCGTCAGACAAAGTAGCCCACGACCTCCGAAATGGAAAAAATAATAAATTCTGGACCCAGTATGAAATTGGTTATCTTAGAGAGCGGAGGAAAGTGTGACCAAATTTCACTCTTGAAGAAATCTCAATACAGAAGCCAGTAATGAAAATTGTAGCTTGTGTCTTGACGACGCTTTCACATAACGGAAATGTCACCCACCTTCTCAAATAAACATCTATTAATGTTTCAACTACATCCCATCGCCCTGGAGATGCTGTCGGGATTGAATCCACAAAGCGCGGCCAAAGATCTCTGAAATGCTCCACTACCGAAGTAATAAAGCGCTCGTGTCCATCTTGAAAGACTTTCTTTGAAGAGGACGTCGAGAAATTTCGATGAGAACCAAAATTACGTAAGCTATCACAGTCCACTGGTCAATGAGCAACTGCTGCCTGTGGATCTGGGCCTTGTTGGAGTAGGCAGTTTGATCCGGAAATTTTGTTTTGGTATCAGGGACTCACTCTTTAGCTGCCCCAGGTGTTCCATCCCTGTCCTCAATGAGGCGAATAATTTATTGAAGTGTCAATGACCTCATGACCTCCGAGGCGTATTATCCGGTGAACCCCCAAATGTGAATAAACTTCAATTGATGCACCAAAAAAGATCCACATATTGCCACAGTACCTTTCATTATTTGTATCTCCTAGGAAGTATACGACCGTTGATGCGGCCATGAATGGCCCAGAGATACCACGGGACCATTCATTGACTTACAAATGAACTTACAAACTTTTACACTTTCAAGAATACCAAAATAATACAAATATAATCTTACGAACTGTGTGCGAAATATAAGTATCTTACAAAAATATTTTTTTCATGAATACCAATTACTAACTTCGTACGAACATCCTGGTAGAAGAGGTTTGATGGGTACCGATTACGAGCTTTTCACTTATTACTAAGAAAAACTTACAAGAATATGTTTTCCTTGAATACCCCAGGAGAACCTGGGGGCCTTTTGGGCAAAACTTGTCCAGCTTAAAAATTATTTGCAGGAGAACAAAAAATATTGCATCTATGAAACTTTGCCATGCTCTAGTTAAGATATATGTGCTACGACTATAAAAGTGGCTTCTGTCTGGCTTTGGTTCCACAAGGTCATCTTCAAGGTCAAAGGCCACTCAAATGTGCTAAAAGGTCAAAATATATTTGAATCTCTGTTTTGATTACGAATTTGAAATCACCCGAGTCTTCCCTTTTAAAGGACACCTTATTTGTCGAATCAGACCATGGAATGAGCTGTATGCATGCAGAGGAAGAGACTGCAAACGCTTGACTGTATGGATATTTAAAGGGAACCAAATGAATGTTGCCATTGTATCTGCAGATGAAGGGAGACGCGTTTATCCACAATGCCGTCTAACGGAGATGGGTACGGAATACGTAGGGTCCATCAACAAGACAGAACAAGGAAAAAACTGCCTCATGTGGAACCCTACTCTAAACTTGGATAGGATGATAAACCGCATCGAACATCCTCCTTCAATGTCTTGCAAGCATTTTTTGTACGCTGACCCACGGTATCACAAGAACTACTGCCGGAACCCGACTATGAAAATGAGGCCTTGGTGCTACGTTTCTGACTCTCCTATCCAATGGGAATACTGCAACATCCCATTTTGTGATAGCAGGAGTAAGAAATTTGTTGTTTCTCATAAATCCCCAGGAATATCTGTGTACTTCAATGGCAAACCACTTCGTGAATGGAACTTATTATAGGCACTTCAACATGACATCCTGTTCGTATCATAAAATAGTGCTTCTATAAGGCCTCTGCAACGTATAATTCTCTTCGCCCCGTTAATCTGAACTGTTTTCCCCTTTAAATATATGTGAAGGTGTCTGCAAATTTCGCAAATCCCATCTGGCAATCTGAAAACAGAAGCCATGAAACAAAAGTTTCGAAAATTTCGAGTAAAAGTTGAACTTAGGAACAAAATTAAAAGCTAGAGCTCAATAGAAACGACAAAGTACGTGACTACGAATTTCTAACGGCCACAAATAAAATTAAAGGATTACGTTCATTTTATGACTAGAGAGTTTGTTTGCCCTTCGTGCAAACAAATCGCTATGGACGCGCCTTCGACGCTTAGCGATCTAAGGCATCCGTTTTCGATGCTCACCTCTACTCTTACGGTCAAACTCTTTCGATCATGGGTTCAATTCTCGCACCTTAAAATATAGGTGTCTTCTAATATACTAATTCTTATACTAATAAACTAATTAATATACTAATATAATAATATTCTAATGTATATATGGAAGATCGTGACTGAGTCACTGACGCTAATTCTATCCATGTTCTAGAGAAGTTAGAAATCTGATACTTGGTACACATATACCTGTTGGGATGCAGAGTTCAGAAAAAATCCGACTTTGGAAGTATATGCCCTAGGGGTAGAAATTTTTTGGGAAAAATTTTTCTTAAATATACATTGTGACGGATGAGGATGGCATTTAGAAAGTCAACTGAATCTCCTGGGTTCGGTGGTGTAGTGGTAGCAAATCTGACCAGCAATCGAGAGGTCCAAGTTCAGTTCCCGACCATTTCTTGGCTTTCTTGTGGCTTCTTTTGCCTTCCATGCCCCGTTACTCATTCCCCCTCCATAATAATATTTTTGCTTGAGTAAAAGGGAAAGCTGCAACCTGGCAGGGACGTGCTTACCGAGACGATGACTTCAGGAAAAAAGCAAAATTTTAGATCCATGCCCTGGGGGATTTTTTCTGGAGGCCGACGTTTTCAAGTATTTTTTTTTGTCCTGGTGTATTGAGCTAGTGTGGAAAGATGCAACTTGGTACATAACTATCTATTGGGATGCTGCAGAAAAATGCAAACTTTGGAAGTAAATGCCCCAGGGGCACTAATTTCAAAGGGAGATGCTTTCAACTAATTTTTTTTGCATCAGTTAAACTGATAAACACGGAAAGCTGAAACTTTGCATGAATGTGACTACTGAGACAAGGAGTTAAATAAAAATGTTAAGTCTTGATACATCCCATGGGGGAATTTTTTCGAGGGGCGATGTTTTGAAAAAAAAAATTGTCATGACGAATTGGACAAAAATGGAAAGGTGGCAAACGTATAAGTGACATAATATTATATATCTGAGGGAGCATTCAACTTTCATGGTGCATCCCCTCCAGGCATAGCTTTTCGGTTGGTCGGTTTTTCCAAACGTGTTTTTTACCAGCAAAAAGGGCAAACGTATAAGATTGAGACTTTGTGGGCATGTAGTTCTCTGAGGATTGATTTCGGTAAAAAAAAAATTTTAAAAGGAATTTTTCTGTTAAAACGGCTCAGGGGACATATTTTGCAAAAGGTGTATTTTCCCGAATTTCCTGATCCAGCAAAACAGAGGGCGAATGAAAGTTTAAACTTGACAAAGAAGTACCTAATGGATAGCTGAGTAAATAAAAAATTCTTCTTTTATTATATACTAGAGAGTTTGTTTCCCGCTATAGTCGCGCCTTCGGCGCTCCACTACCTTGGATAGTGATTAATTCTTTCATTTTTTGCGAAATGGGAAACACGTATTTGAAGTACGTCCCCATTTAAGTACGTGACACATGGGGAGGAAAGTCTTCATTTTATTCAAAATCATTACTTCTATGATATCTAGTGTGCATAACTTGAAATATTTCTTGTGTCCCTTTTTGTAAGGGTGGAGAATACATTTTGAAATACTTCCCTCCTATAATCTACGCTAAGGAGACACATTTCAAAAGTAGGATTTTTCCTGTACTCAGCCATCAAACAGGTCAATCAAACATCAAACTTTTGAGGGAAGTTTAAAAGTTATGTCTCTGTTTCGTTGGATCAAGAAAATATTCAGGAAAATGGGACTTTTAATTTTAATCAAAATCATTACTTTCGTCCCCATATGTCACGTATTTCAATGGGGACGTTCTTTACGTGTTTCCCATTTCGGAAAAAATTGAGTAATATCCAAGATGATGGAGCGCCGATGACGCGACCATAGCGAGTTTGTTTGCCCGAAGGGCAAACAAACTCTAGTCTAATATATATAAACGATCATGACTGACTGACTGTCTCACTGACTGACGCTAATTCTAACCATGTTCTAGAAAGGTCAGAAATCTGAAACTTGGTGCACATGTACCTTTTGGGAAGCAGAGTTCAGAAAAAATACAACTTTGGAGGTACACGCCCTGGGGGTACAGGTTTTGGAGGGAGAAGATTTTAAATATATTCATTGTGACGGATTAGGATGGCATCGAGAGTCCGGAATGGATGTCCCGGGCTCGGGGGTGTAGTGGTAGCACACCTGACCAACAATCGGAAGGCCTGGGTTCAATTCCCGGCCGTTCCTTGGCACTCTCTCGGCCTCTAATCCCTACCAAGTCGCGATACTTATTCCTGCTCCGTAACTATATTTTTGCTTCGGTAAAACGGAGAGACATGGAAAGATGAAACCTGGCATTGACATGCCTACCAAGACGATCATTTGAGGAAAAATGTAAAATTTTAGAACCATGCCATGTGGGGGCATATTTTTAGGGGCCGACGTGTTTCAAGTATTTTTTTTGTCCTGGTGTATTTAACTAGTGTGAAAAGATGAAACTTGGTACATAACTACCTATTGAGATGCTGAGGGCAGAAAATTTCAGACTTTGGAAGTAAATGCCCCGGGGGCACAAATTTCAAAGGGAAATGTTTTCAAATAAAGTTTTTACCTCATTTAAACTGATGAACATGGAAAGCTGAAACTTTGCATGAATGTGGCGTATTGAGACAAGGACTTAAAAATGTGGGAAAATGGAAATGGAAAGTTGAAACTTGGCGCACGTATAAGTGACATGAATGAGTTATATAAGTGAACATTGAGTTGAGGGAGTATTCAGCCNTCCATGGTGCATCCACTCCGGGCATAGCTTTTGGATGCGTCGGCTTTTCCAAACATGCTTTTTCACCAGCGAAAAGAGCAAACGTATAAGGTTGAAGCTTTGGAGGCATGTTCTCTGGGGATTGATTTCGGTATTTAAAAAAAAATAAATTTTTGGTTAAAACGCCTCAAGGCACATATATTGCAAAAGGCGTATTTTCTCGAATTTCCGATCCAGCAAAACAAAGGGCTCTAGAAATGTTAAACTTGGGAAAGAAGAAGGTGATGTAGAGCTAAGTAAAGAAAAATTTCTACTTTGGTGATACATGCCATAGGGACACACCTTTTTGGAGAACATATTTTCAAGTATTTCTCTTTGCTTCAATCAAAAGGAGACACATGCAAAACTGAAACTTGCCAAGGACGTGATTGCTGAAGCACTGAGCTCAGGACAAATGTCAAATTTCCAAAATATTGTTTTTTTTTGGGGAGGGGGATATTTCTTGGGGACGTTACGTTTTCAAAGCATTTTTCATATCCCAGGGAATCGGACAGAAATACTAGTAAGAAAATAGTAGCAGCTGGCGTACGCATAACGGACGTGATGTAGATTTAAGCAAAATGTCGAATTTTGTTGTGCGTCTCCTGAAAGTAAAATTTTTGGGTGGGTTGCTTTTCTAAATATATTTTTTATCGCCAGCAAAAAGGGAAACGTATATCGCTGAAACTGGGTGGCATGGAGTTCCCCGAGTCTACATTTCAGAAGAAAAAAAAATTTAGTTAAAACCCATCATGGCACTTTTTTTTAAGTCCCATTTTCCTGAATTTTTTTGATCCAGCGAAACAGAGACATAACATTTAAACTTCCCGCAGAAGTACCTATTTGATGGCTGAGCACAGAAAAAATCCTACTTTTGAAATATGTCCCATAAGCGTAGATTATAGGAGGGAAGTATTTCAAAATGTATTCTCCACCGGTACAAAAAGGGAGACGTGAAAAGATTTCAAGTTAGGCACAATAGATATAATAGGAGTAATGATTTTGATAAAAATCAAGACTTTCGTTCCCATGTGTCACTTCTTTAATTGAGGACACACTTTAAATACTTTTTCCCATTTCGCAAAGAATAAAATAATTAATCACTATCCAAGGTGATAGAGCGCTGAAGTCGCGACCATAGGGAGTTTGTTTGCCCGAGGGGCAAACTCGCTAGTAGAACATGTTCTTAGTGACGTCGTGCCAATTGTAGCATGAGGGTCACCATGTAACAATTCTAAGTGTGTCGTTTGATGTTCCATTGGTGTATTCAATTCCTGCCTATGGTCGACACACACACGATTGCATATCAATCTCCGAAAAAGTAGGATTAATAGCAGTCATATTAATCATATAAGCCGCTTGAGACTTTTAACGCAACAATTCTTTATAACTGTGTTCATTGCATGGGGAGTTCTTTCATTATCTTCATATCAAGGACTCTATGGGAGTCCCTTTTCCAAACTCTTCTAATGTTTCCATACAGTTGTCTGCGAAAAAACACTCCATTCCGTAAATGCAGCCCGTAGATATACTTCACGTTTCGTTGAAGTGTGCATAGCATTGGCCTAAGCGACCGAAAGTGGACTAGACGTAGATACCTTATATCGATACGTCGATGGAACATCCACAGTTTCCCTGTCAGAAAAAAAAATAAATAGAACCATTTGCATTTGCAAGGGTATCGGTACGCGTGAACTCGTCTCCTTCCTTCACCTGTGACCCAACCGCATAGGACGAAGGGGCTAACGTGTCAGGCTAAGGCAGAAGAATTCTCGGTTAGATATGCCGTGAAGTTCTTCCATGCGAATGGGTCGGGCAAAATTAGTGTGGGCCTCTCCATCTCTCCAAGGGTTACCTATAGGCCTGCGAACTCAGTCCCATCATGTTCAATGTCGATCTTCGTCTGCATTATGGAATGAAACAGCTATTTCTTTTCCCTCTCGTTTCCCTGAAGGAAGAAAATGGTTAAGAGTTGTATTAGCCTAAGCATCCATCCATGGGTTGGGCCTAGGCCTGCGAAATCAATCCCACACCCCTGAAATGTGCCCCCCCCGGCATGGACCCCCAAAGTTGGGCATTCCAAGTTAGACGGTCTCTGGAGTCGACAACCTCGCAGCTGCCTGAGAATGGCATAGGCCTAAGCGTCCGTCTGAGTGTTTGACCTAGGCGTACAAAATGAGACCCCCTGCAATGAGCACCCAGGGCACTTACCTCCAAAGTTGGAATTTCCTGGAGTCATCAATCTAACAGCTATCTGTGTACCAAGTTTCAGCCTCTCATCATGCCTAGAACATGGTTAGAATTAGCGTCAGTCAGTCAGTCACCATCGTCTATATATATTAGATGGGCTTCACTGCTGAGTTTCCTGAGCAATGGGGGATAAACTGGCACTCATATCCAAAGGTAGCGCATCCAAACCAAGGACAAAGCCAGGGGAGGTGTCCTGGGTGTCTGGACACCCCTCAAAATGAAGCAAGATTTCAGGAAACCGGGAGTGTGAAAGCGGGGGGGGCCCACTTCGTCATCTCATAAGCCTGAAAGAACCTCACAAGACACCCCGCGAAAATAATTTCTGGCTACGTCCCTGATCCAAAATATTAAATGAGGAAGGCAAAACTTCAAAATTTAGTCTCCTCAAGTAAGAGAGGTTCATTCTTTCTCCACAGCTCCGCCGGAGTGCAAGTTGACTGTGAGTGGTGGGGAATATGCAGGGAGGAAGAACGAGACGAATTGGGGGCTGCCATGTCAAAGTTGGAACATCTCTGGGAACAACGGTTTAATTGAGGAGATGAACAGATGGGCTGCATTCTCAGACAACGCACAAGAGAAAGGTCACAATTTTTGCCGGGGAAAGACATTGAATGAAATGTGTACCCACAGGCGTGGCGGGCAACCTAATTTTTTGTCAAAAATGTACGGTCCACGCTGCCTTCAAAATCAAGACGCAGAAGATAGTTGTGACATCCCATTCTGTCCAATGAAGATACGACCAAACAATTGATCCTCTTGAGTTTGTAATTGTTATTCTTTCCCTGGAACATTTTTTTAGAGATGTATCTTTACAAATATCATAGTGTGAAATGGGAATTGATCCTAATTTGAATGATTCTCTCTCTGGCATTATTATTCACTCTCCATCTGACTTACATGTGATAGAGCCACTTGCAATGACACAGGAACAATTTAGAAAATTCATGGAATTAAATATCCGGCTTCCAACCAGAACAAGTTTCCTAAAATCGTGATAACTTCACTGCCTTGCCGCTCGTACTTTACCTTGAAGAATGGCTTTTTTCCCCTGTTATAGCACTAGGTTATGGTTTCCTTCTTACCTCTCTTCAATTCTTGCATATCATGTTTTCATATACTTTCCTACAGTACACATTCTATTAAAAACCTCGTGTTGATTTCTAGTTCATCCAATGTAACATCGCCACACTTTTAATCGTTATAGAAGTCGTTAAGTGTCATCCATCATCGAGCTTCGAGCCCCTAGCCGACGTTTTGACAGACTGATGACAGATTTAAATTTAAGAGCTACCATCAAGTTGCCAATGCCGATGTTGCAAAGTTGGACCTGTATCTTTCTCAATCTACATCACCTTTATTTTCCCGAAGAACTCCTCCTGCTCCTTCAATAAATGCTCCTGGAAGATAATAAAAGAAAATGAAATATTGAGGAAAAAAACTTTATTTGAGATGAAAAAAAAACATTTTCTCGACTTTGGCATGGTTCTCCTAGTTCTACCGGTCTAACAATAAGCCACTCCAATCGTGTCGGTTCTGCACAGTGAGGGGAGGCTGGTTCAAAGCGGAAAATGGGAAATGGTCCATCATTCATTTCACGAAATCACTCCGAAGTGCCCATGAGACATATTATGAAAGATCTGTTCACTCCTAGGTCACTTTTCCTTTGGAATCGTCATGAAAGAACCACAAATCTCAAAGTATTATGTCCATGGAAAAAATAAAAGTTTCATTGGAATTAAATTCGTATTGCTACCAATAAGCGGACTTCAATCAAATGACAATCAATTCTTGCTCAGAAGTCCTTCTCGTGGAAGCTGAAAATCTAGAGTTTGCCATATTAGCCTTTGGGGGCGTAGGTGGGACAGGCCGACAGCAGGTGGCAGCAGGAGCAGGTGGAACGGGATTCCCGGATGGGTCCCACAGTCCCGAAATGTGATTGATCACAAGTCCTCCTTCAGGATGGACTTTCGGTACCATAGTGTGGGTAAAACGCCATCTTGACCTGCTGCCAAAAACCCTCTGTCTCTGAGCCTAGGCCAGATAACCATAGTCATGCATGGGACAACTCCAGAGACAGCCCATGAGTCTGCATTGCCTCGAAGAACTTGCCATGTAAAGTCTTCTGGAGATGG